AGCACCCCAGCCTGTGTGACAGAGGCCAGACTCTGTCTCTAAATAAATAAATTGAACTTATAATTCAAAACCTTTCACAGAAATAAAACTAAATCCCAGGCCCAGATGACTCCACTGAAGAACCATGGAAGGAAATAATGGTCTTAGACAAATTCCTCCAGAGGTTAGGAAAAAGGCACTTCCAAACACATTCATGAAAACGGCAGAACCCTGGGACCAAGACCAGACTCAGGCAAACAAAAATGGAAGGGCAGCTCAGTCCCTCCACTAGCATACACGCAAAAATCATCAACGTGAGCTAATCAAACTGAGGAAGGACGGGATCGAACACCTGTGTGCTAATTTCCATTAACTCAGGTGCTCGCGAGGAGCATGAATCACTGCCCCAGGGAAATACTGCATTTTCATCGACCATGAAAGATGCCTTGCGGCAAACCAGGCGCTGTGGCTCACGCCTGTAATCCCGGCACTTCAGGAGGCTGAGGGGGATGAACCACGCTAGAGGCCAGGAGTTCAAGACCAGCCTGGGCAACAAGGTGAAACCTGGCCCCTACAAAACATACACACACAAAAAATTAGCCGGTGTGTGGGGGCGCACAGCTGTCGTCCCAGCCACTTGGGAGGCTGTAGCATGGGAATCGCTTGAGCCCGGGAGGCGGAGACTGCGGTGAGCCGAGATCTCGCCACAGCACTCCAGCCAGGGCCACAGAGCCAGACTTTGTCTCCAAAAAAAAAAAAGAAAAAAACAACTTAAGTTTAACTTTTTTTTTGAGACAGAGTCTTGCTCTGTGGCCCAGGCTGGAGTGCCGTGGCGAGATCTTGGCTCACTGCAGTCTCCGCCTCCCGGGTTCAAGCGATTTTCCTGCCTCAGCCTCCCGAGCAGCCGGGATTACAGCATGCGCCGCCATGCCCAAAAAATTTTTGTATTTTTAGCAGACACAGGGTTTCACCATGTTGGCCAGGATGCTCTCGATCTCCTGACCTAGTGATCAGCCCACCTTGGCCTCCCTAAATGCTGGGATTACAGGCGTGACCCACTGTACCCAGCCAAATTTAAGTTTTAAAAAATGTGTGATTGCAGGGGCTCCCGACCTGCTGGTCCGCGCACAGCGGGAGGCGCACGGCGGGTGAGCCAGCATCACTGCCTGAGCGCCACCTCCCGCCAGGTTGGCGGTGGCCTCAGATTCTCACAGGAGCGTGAATGTCACCCGCGAGGGATCCAGGCCACATGGTCCTTATGAGAAGCTAATGCCTGATGATCTGAGGCGGAAAGGGTTCGTTGTGAACCACATCCCTCACCCCACCACCCGTGGAAAAACCATTGTCCACGAAACCTTCCCTGGTGCCAGAGACGGCTGGGGACTGCCGCCGTATTCAATCTACTTGCTGATTCATCAGCGCGGAAGTCACAGCCAGCAGCACGAGAGCTCACCCCTGAGAGCGGCTCTGGAAGGCACACCGTAGCCTTCTTCCACTTAGGAACACTAGACAAACTCAGCACTATCTTGAGGGGCCATTTTAAACAGTCAAGTCGCCAACACAAAGCACAAAGATGTGAAACGGCATGAAGGACACCGTGGAAAGGCGTACACAGCGAGACCTGAGACAGGCAGAGCGGCGTCGCCCACCTCGCCGGGAGCCGACGTCAGGCAGTTCACCTTCCCCGCCGCTCCACACATCCGCCGGCGACTGACCACCACGGTGTTGCCAGCATTGATCTGGGGTTACAAACAAATTTTAGCAAGTAGGCAAGTCACCAATGAATTGCATGTGACACACAAACACAAGAGAGAATACTTCCCGACCAGGCAGCGTTTATTCCACAACGCGTAGTTAATTTAACGTCTGAAAGATCCATTTATGGGCCAGGCACAGTGGCTCACGCCTATAACCCCAGCACTTTGGGAGGCCGAGGCAGGAGGATCATCTGAGGCTGGGAGTTCGAGACCAGACTGGCCAACATGGAGAAACCTCAACTCTAGCAAAAAATACAGAATTAGCTGGGCCTGGCGGCGGATGCCTGTGATCCCAGCTACTCAGCAGGCTGAGGCGGGAGAATCGCTTGAACCCAGGAGGCGGAGGTCACAGTGAGTTGGGATAGCACCGCCGCACTCCAGCCTGGGCAACAAGAGCAAAACTCTGTCTCAAAAACATTAATAAATAAAATAAAGGAAGTCAATTTAAGTAATGAACTGCATTAGCACAATAAAAGAGAAAAGGACTATCTCAATCCCTGCACAAAGAGCATTTGAAACAATTCAACACACATTCATGAAAACATCTGCCAGCTACCAGGAACAGACAGGGAGCTTTCATCTGATAGAGCATCCACGGAAATCTCACCGCCAACATCCTATTCAACAGGGGAAACGCCACTTTTTCCAAGTCTGAGACCAAGACAGGGATGTCCTCCAACAGTACATCTTTCCACGCCTGCACTGGACTAGCCAGCACAAATTTAGAAAATGAACAAGCAGCCTGGGCGTGGCGGCTCACGCCTGTAATCCCAGCACCTGGGGAGGCCCAGACGGTCAATCACCTGAGGTCAGGAGTTGGAGACCAGCCTGGCCAACATGGTGAAACCCTGTCTCTACTAAAAATACAAAAAATAGCTGGGCGTGGTGGCGGGCACCTGTCATCCCAGCTACTCCAGGGGCTGAGGCAGGAGAACTGCTTGAACCTGGGGGGCGGAGGTTGCAGGGAGTTGGGATCGTGCCATTGCACTCGAGCCCGGGCGACGAAGGGAGACTCCATTTCAAAAAAAAGATGCTATACTGGAAACCGTAACATTGCTAAGATTAAAGGTCTTACTAGAGAGGTAAAAACCCCCAGAGTGGAATATCAATTCTCCCCAAATTAAAGATTCAATGCAAGCCCAATCAAAACCCTAGCAAATATTTTTGAGGCAACTGACAAGTTGTATATCCACCGAAGTTTTAAGATTAAAACTTGTCAGGGCTGGATGCGGTGGCTCACACCTGTAATCCCAGCACTTTGGGAGGCCGAGGCGGGAGGATCACTTGAGATCAGAAGTTCGAGACCAGCCTAGCTAACATGGGGAAACAACAATTCTGCTAAAAATAAAAAAAAATTAGCCGGGCGTGGTGGCGCATGCCTGAAATCCCAGCTACTCGGGAGGCTGAGGCAGGAGAACCACTTGAACCCGGGAGGTGCAGCTCACTGCAACCTCCGCCTTGTGGTTCAAGGGATTCTCCTGCCTCAGCCGCCCGTGTATCTGGGACTCCAGGCGAGCGCCATCATGCCTGGCTAATTTTTGTACTTGTAGTAGAGACAGGGTGCCACTATGTTGGACACGCTGGTCGCAAACTCCCGACCTCAAGTGATCCACCCGCGCCGGCCTCCCAGAGTGCTGGGATTACAGGGTGAGCCCAGCCCTGGCCACCATACGCCAAAATTTAAATTAAGTTGGATCACGGCCTTAAATGTGAAAGGGAAACAATAAAGCTTCTAGAATGAGACGTGGAAGAGTACCTTCAAGAGCCTGAAGGTAAGCAACGACTCTTAAACAGGACACAAACACGTTACTTTTAAAATGAAGATTGGTGAGCTGGGCTTTACTGAAGACACCACCAAGAGAGTCAACGGGAAAGCCACACACTGGAGCAGACAGCAGCAGTGCGCAAAGCCCACAGAGGACTCGCTTCCAGGACGCGTAAGTCACTCCACAAATCACAGAGAAAGACCACCCAAGTCAGAAACGGGGAAAGCTTTGGGCACACACAAACAGAATATCCAAATGGCGAGCACACTCTCCAGGGAAATGCCAATGAAAGACACGAGGCGACAAGAGTCCATCTCAACTCAGGCAAGTTCATCCTCGGGGTCAAACGCCGAGAATGTGAGCGACTCCCACAAACCATGAGTGAGAAACGCGGGCAGCACACGTGACCCCAGCACACACCTACCGTGCGACTCCCTGCTGTCCATCGAGAACTGAGCGCTCTATCCACGAACCAGGCACAAGGGCATTCACGGCCCACAAACGAACCCAACCGTGACAGCAGCCCACGGCAGGAGAGGTGGCAAACGTGGCACCCAAACCAAGCACCACAGCGAAATACGTGAGACACCAGCACGCAGACGACTCCCACGGCACAGACGTCACACGGCGTGGGAGTGGCCGGCGGCATCCCGTGGCTGAAGTGGTGCTGGCTGCCGAGGACAGGGCACCCTCATGGGGTGAGTCAGGGTTGGGAAAGGGCCCTGACGACAGGCTCCGAGGCCAGGGCTCCACCCAGAGTGTGACTGCAGGTGCCTTTTCTGGGTGAGGGTCCCGTGTCCCCTCTGACCCCGCCTTCTGGGTGTCCCAGCTTGGCTGCACCTGCCTGCCTCTGTCCTCCTCTCACACGCGTCCATCCCAGCCATGGAATCACCTTGGAGAAGGCTTCTGAGCTGCGAGCACTGGCCCAGGGCCTCCAAGGGCTCCAGGGAAAGACAAGACCCAAGTCAGTGAGCACCTGAGTCCATGCCTGGAAGGGGCCAGAGCGGCCTGGCTCTGAACTCCAGTGGGAAAGAGACAAAGATCAGGTCCAGGACAGGGAGTGCCCTGCAAAGGCGGGGAGCCAGGCAGGGGAAGCTGCACGACACCCAGCAGGTATCTCCGGAGAGCCCGTCTGACCTGGGGCTCCTGAGGAGGCACCTCGGGGCAGAGAGCTGGCGAAGGCAGCAGCCCTGGCTGGGGGGAGGTGGCTGGAGTCAAGGGCGGGGCAGGATGGACTGCCGAGGGTCTGACTGCACCGGTTGACAGGAGCAGACCCCAAGAGACGGACAGAGCTGGGCAGAGTGGGCAGGGGCAGGCATCGACAGGCCCACCACAGTCAAGAGAGCCTCCGCTTCCTGCAGCCACAGGCTCGGCTGCCCAGCAAGCCACAAAGGGCGGGCACCTGACCAGGCCGGGCCCCTCAGACTGCCCAACGATCTGCCGTCCAACCGGGCCCCTCCCCTGCAGAAGTGAGTTCCCCGCCCCGGGCCCCACTTACTCTTCTCACAGTGCCGGTTCCAGTGCAGGCTGCTGAGGTCAGCTTGGAACTGAGGTCCCACCATGATCTCCTGCAAACAAGGGCCTGGGAATCAGGACACTGAGGGAGCGTCCGGCACAGGAGGGAGGCTGGCTGCCACATGCTGTGGCCGGCTCAGGCGGAGGTGCCGCCATTCAGACCCCAAACCCATGTGTGCAATCGACCTGCTGATGCGAGTTCTGGGGTCTGAGGATAGGAGGCAGAGGCCTGGGTGTGTGAGGGGAGGCAGTGCCCTGACACTGGCCTGGCAGGCCCAGACAGGATGTCAGAGGAGACACTCTGGGTCAGCAGCAGGAGCCGGGGCTCCAGTCCCAGCCCACCCCGGGGTTGAGCAGCACATCCCTCCTCTGAGAAGGGGCAGACGCCCAGGGAGAGGGCTCCGCAGGACCCCGCTGAGGTGACTGTGGTCGATACGAGGTTGGGGAGAAGCAGAGTCACGTACCTTCTTACATTTGTTGGCAGGAAGGGAGTCCTCCTCGGTGTCGGAGGAGGCAGAAGAGCCAGGCTCTTTGACTTCATCAGCCAGGAAACGAGCTTTGGGAAAACGGAGGCAGGTCCCCCAGGGTCTCCACTGCCGGCAGCCTGCACGGCCCCTTATTCGGGCAAAGACCCTCCACTCCCACTCTCCATCCACCTGATCCCCAGGCTGTGACCCCCTCCCTGGCCAGACACCGGGACGTGGATGGGCACAGAACCCAGGACCCGGGGTGCACTCTGAAGAAAGAGTCCTTCCCTTCCGTTCCACGTGGCTGCTGCACTGCTGGGCCCCAGCCCTCAGCTCCCAGGAAAGCCAGCGCACAGGCTTGTGGGGGAGGACGGCCATGGGGATGCTGCCTCTAGATCTGCTACGGGAACCAACACATTCCCGCTTGTTTAAACTGAATCACTCCGAGAGTCCCTGCTCACTGGCCAGGATGAGGCAGAACAAGGCACCCCCAGGGCTACCAACGCTTCCCACCAGGCAGACCCCCTCATCTGTGATGCGTTCTTGGCCCGCACCAGCCCCAGGACCCTTCATCAGCATCACCCCTGCTGGCCCAGGGCCTGGGCTCGGGAGAGGACTGGAACAGAGTCACCTACATCCACTCCGGTTTGGGAAGAGGTCGGAGGCCTCGTGGGAGGTCACGGACGGGGTGAGGTCGTCAGCAGATGGCTGCGTCTCTTCCTCTTCTTCCCCTGAAAGCAAATCCTTCGCTATTTGTTCCTTTTAACGAAAAAGTAAAGAATGTTTTACAGTTTAGCAGTCTCGGGATAACACTAATGATAACAACAGCGAAGACACTGGGGGCTCCCTGAGGCTCACGTGGGGCCTACGCCCATTCTGCAGAGAAGGAACCGGAGGTGGCCGGGGGTGCACAGTGTTGGCGGGGGAGCGGGGGTGGAACTGGACACGTGGGGTGCTATTCTCATTACACAGGTAAGGAGCTGGAGGCACCCGAGGGTGCACAGCGCGGGGGAGCTCACACCCAGCCACCAGAGCTGGGAACAGTCAGAGCCACCACTGGGCACCGCCCAGAGCACGTGGCTCTTTCTCGGACGTGCATGTGGTGTTAACCTTCTGCAATGCAGCCTTCCCCTGCTCCAAACGCCCAGCCCTCGAGCGGTGACCTCTGGGTACCTAATGTCAGAGAGCCCAGTTCTGGGGAGGCGGCCAGGTCATGGTTCCTCTGCCTTCCCAGGTGCACTTCTCCAGGACAGGCCCTGACTGCCCCTCCACCCGCCCACGCCAGAAGGACACGTGGCCCAGGGTTAAGGCCAGGGTCCAGCCTCATGCCCACGGCCATTCCAACCTTGGCAGAGTGGTACAGGCGGCCACATTTCACTTGTTCTGGGGGCCTTTGTGCTCCTCTCACTGAACGCCCCCTGCTGAGAGGCAGCCCCAGTCCCTGCACCTCTGCTGGGGCCAGTTCCAGGAAGAGCACTCACTCACCTTGTCCAGGGTCATGTCCGGGAGGTTGGGAGCCACGTCGCCACCCTCGCTCTCCTGCTCTGAGATGGGGTCTGAGGCCTCGTAGCCATAGAGTGCAAGCAGCTCATCGAAGGGCATGTCGCTGCTCTGAGTTAGGGAGGGAAACAGGGCCCCATCAGGAGGGACTACTCAGGGGCTCCTGTCCCCTCTCCCTTACCTGAGCCTTGCTGGCCACACCCAGGGCTACTCTGACACACCCACAGCAGCTCCCCACACGCAGCACTCCCCATCCAGACCTCAGGCCCAGGCCCTCATCCGAGAGCTCCTTCGCAATCCCTCAGAGAGACACTGGAACACAGGGGTCACCGGCCGGGGAAGAGGGCACCACCCTGCCCACAGTGCCACCTCGCACAGGGTGAATGACAGGAATATAAGGATGGTGCAACACCTGGCAATCTACTATTTTAACTCAACATCAGCTTATCAAAGGGGAAAAAAGTAACCTGAAAACCATTTGGTAAAATCTGACATTTATTCCTGATTTAAAAAAAAAAAAAAAAAACCCTCAGGAAACTACATCAACAGGCCAGACACAGGGGCTCACACCTGTAACCCCAGCATTTTGGAACGCCAAGGAGGGCAGATCACTTGAGGCCAGGAGTTCAAGACCAGCCTGGGCAACATGGCAAAACGCCGTCTCCACTAAAAATAAGCTGCGTGCCTCCTGTCGTCCCAGCTACTCGGGAGGACAAGGCAGGGGAATCACCTAAACCCGGGAGGCAGAGGCTGCAGTGAGCCAAGACCTCACCACTACACTCCAGCCTGGCGGCACAGTGAGGCTCTGTCTCAAAATAAAACATTAACAAAGAAAAAAAAAGTAACACAAACAGATGGATGCTTCATAAACATAATAGAGAAGCTGTCGATTCACTCTGGGTCAAAAATGAGTAACCAGAGAAATCGCCGTCAGGAACGGGGCCAAGAGCGCCGTGATGAACACACAGCTGGATGCTGAGCCCGTGCAGCCTGCCAGGAAGCGGGAGCAGGGCACGCGGCTCCCCGGAAGCGGGAACAGGGCACGCGGCTCCCTGGACGCGGGAGCAGGGCACGCGGCTCCCTGGAAGGAAGAGACGTCACCCTCTCCAGCGCTGTGTTCAAATCCCCACGCCCCCCTCATGTGAGCCTCTACACCCTGAGGTTACAGCTGCCTGCTCAGACTCCACCCGGACCCGGGGTCACTCTCAGCGTCCACCTTCCTGAACCCTCGTCTCATTCTCTCAGGATGTCAGCACTGGCCTCCCCTCCACCCAGCTCCTGCCCAGACTCCTCTTGGGGCTTCAAGTCCACAAAGAACCTCCCGGCCCATTCCCAGCCCTTCCCCAGGTGGAACGTCCATACCAAGTCCCCCTTTAGTTCTCACAGGACCCGACGGACAGAACACATTCTGTATGCCCATGACCGCCAGGGGCAGGCAGGTGGGAGGGCTGACACGGTGGTCCCAAGGCCCCTGGGTGCCCCAGGTGAAGCCCCGTCTGAAGAGCACAAAGCCGTGGTTTCTGTGCTGGGCCTCACTGACACTTGCACTGATGGTGCCGCAGTGGCAGCCGGCAACAGCCCGGCGCCCATGGAAGCTGCAGCCAGGGCACCACTGCCCATCCCTCACACACCAAAAGCAATCTCCCCAGCTTCACTTCAGAAGACAGTGGGCACATTCTGTGAAGTCGCATCCTGAGCAGACGCCTCCATGTTCTGTGCGATGGCATGGGAAGCACAGCGGCTGCTGCCTACCAGAGTGAGGGGCTCCTTCAAGGAAGCACGCGTGGAATGGGTGGTGAGGCGAGGGGG